AAAAAAAAAAAAATTCAATAAGAGGAAAGGGGAGGGAGGTGATACCCTGCCATCCTGGCGCCGGGTGCGGGGCTGCTGCCTGTCCTCTCTGTGCGGGTTATTGTGTCTGGGGGCTCACGGGGGGGTGTCCGTGGGGGAGGTTAATGGGAACACTGTCCTGGGGGCTGTAACGGGTGTGGGGCCTGGGAGAGCTGGTGGGGTTTTGCCCCTTAAATCGCACGGTGGAACCTGCGAATTGTTTGGGTTGTGGCTGAAAAGTAATAAAGAGAAGGATGGCTGTGCATTAGGAGAGAACAGATTTTACCCTCTAGGTGCCCAATATAATATATATCATTATTACAGGCTTTTTTTTTTTATCATAAAAAAAAAGAAAAAAGGGGGTGGGGGGGTGGTGGAAGAATAATGAGTACTTTCATATTTGGCAGATAAGGGGAAATTCCTGTGGCTGCGGTGGCCGGAGCAGCGCTGCACCCTCTGCTCCTCCCCTGGCTCTTAATTCTGGCTCGCTGCACAGATGTAATTGATGCTGCTAATGAGGGGGAAGGTTTACCTGCTGTCCCGGGGGCTGAGGCAATAAGAGGGGCTGCAGGTAACAGGACTTTCAGTTATTTTTCATGGCTCTTTGGGGTTGAGATGGAGGTTCAGCCTGTGGGAGAACCAGGCAAAGGAGAAGGTCCCTCCTTCGTTTCTCTGCTGGCCAGGGTGGCTGGTGGCATAAATTACAGCAGCATTAATTATCCCCCTCAGGGGATAATTCTGGCATCCAGGAGTTATGGGGAGGGCAGCCCCTGGGGATGCAGGGTGGGAATGGCCCCGTGATACAGATTTACACCCTCCCAAGTGATGGGAAAGCTTAATACGCCCTAAACCATGAATGACTGAAAACTGAGTTTGTGGGAGGTGGGAAATACGCTGATCTCTAAATTTTTTAACATGGGAATTCTCTCATATAAAGGAACCTTTGAGCTCTTCATAAAGCAGGCAGAAAGTGATGGGAACAAATAGGTGCCTGGTAAAAAATCTCCTCACCCTCACTAAAACAACATTTTTGGAGCAGGATGTATGGAGGATCTGTTCCATGTTGCCCTGAGACCCCTGTGCCATCACCTGCACCTGCCTGTTTTGGGTTATGGTACGGACTTTCTGCTGGCAGGATGAATTCCCTCCCTTGCCCTCGATGCTCAGCAGAGAGACATAAAACAGATCTGAGAAGTGGAGCCGACCCGAGCTCAGGGCGTTTGCAGCGTCCCTGCCCGTGCAACGGCCCCACTTAAAGTCGGTCAAATTGAAAGAAAATCCCTCCCCTCCACGTCAATGCTGATTTATCTACTTTCAATATTAACGCTGAAAGGAGAATTTTTAATTCCTGGTTTTTAAAAGACTTTTTTTCCCCCCACTATTTTCTAGTTTTAAAGAATTCCGTGATGACAGCTGTGGGGTGGGCTGTGGGACCCCTCTTCCTGCAGCCCCATGGGACGGGGGGCACCCAGGGACCTGCCTCTGCCCTGGCCCGGGGCTCCCAGGGGGGTTGGAAGGGACATGGAAGGGGACGTGGAAGGGGGACCAGCCCCCCCCCGCAACCCCCATGAGCCATCACCAGGGCTAAAGTGTCAGGCTGAAATTTATGCTTTTCCTAAACTTCCTCACATATGTCAGTTTATGCAAGAATTTTAAAATTATTTACGAATCTTTTAAAAGAAAAGGAATGTTTTTCCTTGCTTTTTTTTTTCTTTTTTTTTTTTTTTTTTTCTCCAAAGAAACAAAACCTTCCATGGCAGACTGTGAAATATGGATTATTTACCTCCAGACTGGGCACGAGTCTGATCCAATCTTAGAAGTAAATGCATATTTAGTCTTTAAGGCAATTAGTTTATCCATGTAAATACATATTTTGGTTTACACATTCTTTATAACACAGTTACGTGGACGAGTGGAGGATTTGGTAGGCATCACATTTACCATTGTTTGTCTAGAACGCTAGCTCTGAAAATGTGCAAAAAAGCAGCTTTTACTGGTGATGGTTTTTAACGCTCCCGTGTCTTAAAAACAGCATAGTTTCTAAAAAAAGTACATATATCGAAAAGTTTAAAAAAAGCTGTCTAGCTATGAAGGATGCGTTTCCTGCCAAATTATAAACCCTTGAGAAACTGCATTTGTTCAAGAAGTTGTGAGACATCCTTTAATTGGGTATTAGCGTGATCAGGATCAGCAACTGTATAATTAGAGCATCATCGTTCTGCGTCCGACACCGGCGCAGCGGTAATTGCAGACCTGAGTTATTGCACAAGGAGGACCTGACGGCATCACAGGCTTTGGGGGTTCCAATGGGGGACAACAACCTCAATATAAATATATTCAGTTATACTGCTTGGAGCTAAGCCATTTATTTTTCACGTTTGAAAGGTGGGAATAAATATAATAATATTTGCCCGACGGATATGAACAGTAGGGGGTCAGTGCTTTGAAGAAGCATGGAACATACCTTCAGACAGTTGCCTACAGCCAACGTGCCCCACGCATTACAGGGTGGCTACATTTAGGAAAATGTGGCCGCCTTCAACTCGCAGCCTCCCTTTTTTTTTTTTTTTTGGAAGAAACGCCCCAAGAAGCCCCAATCTGTACAATGACCAGTTTACTGCACGGAACAGATTCACCCAGAACCAAGATTCTTTATTGGATGGACACCACCTACAGCTCCAATCCTGCAAAAGCCCGAGGTGGCCTGACTCTGGCTGTGGGAGGGACGGGGGGTAGAGGCTCCCGAGCAGCCCCTGGGAGAGGAGACCCCCCAACACATCTGGGCACACACCCCCCTACACCCCACAGCTGAACACCCATCTCTGACTGACACCACGCACCCATCCCACCTATGGAAACACCATTGGTACCTGGGAACCTCCCCGGCACCCATCCCACCTATGGAAACACCATTGGCACCCGGGAACCTCCCCAGGGTTTGTTTTTTTCATTTTTTTCTTTTTTTTTTTGACTTGACTATAATTCTGTCCCCCCCAAATTTAAGTGGAAATTCAGCATCTTGTCTGTGCTCCAGTGGTTTGACCTGGTACGAATGCAAACAGGTCAATACCTCTTTTTTTTTTTAAATATTACATGAAGCTGCTGTTCATTCTGTTCTGTTGCTGGAAATACTAGGATCTGGATATCAGGAATCACCGAAATTAAATATATCAGTGAAATCTGCAATTTCCAGCCACAGGATAGAGCCACCTCTCAGTGTTACTGGAGATGAGGCACGTGAGTTGGGCTAAGCGTGTCCTTCTTTCTTTCTTCCTTCCCAAAACCGTACTGACACGATTCTTTCTGCAGCACCACTGTTTCTAGCGAACGGATTCTAAAATATAGCACTTTAAAGCTGCAATACAAGAGAGATCAGGACTGTGTTGAGTGTCGTTTGATTTGGGTTCATACTATTTCCTTAAAGAACAAATTTTTGTCACGTTATTCGAGGTTTGAAAAAAAAAAACACCACATTTCCGAAAAGAGTCACTGCTCAGCACGGGGCTGCAAATATTGGGCATAGAACAATCTGTGGCTGAACATACACAGAGGGACCCGGGACCTTTTATTGCCCTGTTTTGGAGACAGATATTTCCGTTTCTACCCTGCGTCGGAGTTTATCAATAACTACACCAGATTCACCTCGTATTCTCTCTACACCCGAGCAACACGAAAGCATCTACAGAAACCAGCGACACTCGGGGGCTGCCTTTCCTAAACCTAAAATGTTGTAGCAGAATAATCGTGTCGCCTGCTCATATAGAAACTAGGGAGGTAATAACATCGATGGGGGTTTTATTATTCTCGTCATTAATAACTGGGTTTTTTTGGTGAGCAAGTCAAGATCTTTTGGGGTCACCTGGAGATCTTGCCTTCAAGGGCTGTTGGCCATAGTCACGTCCCAGCAATTTATGCAGATGGCAGTTTTGATAGTTTTTAATTTCAGCTGTAAACTGTGAGCAACGCTTCGTGTTAATGTTCTCTGGGGCTGTTGGTTTTTTTTTTTAAAAAATTAAAAATTAGTTAGTGACATTAGATGCTATTTTGGAAACCTGACCCTTCTCTGAGTGAAATGCAGTACTAGGAAACTGGTGTGTCAGGACTCAGCTGTGCAGAGTTAGTGCATCGGGGGTGAAGTCCTGTCAGTAAAGATGGTTCTATCATGGACGGCAACACGTGCTTCAGTACAGTTATTGGAGCAACCTTGTTTTAATATAGATAAGTATTTTATATATATATATATGTATATATATAAAATTTTCCTTGATACTTCATGTATTTTCAGGTATCTAATATTTAAAAGCATCCCTTATCATTGCTAAATACGCCAAACCAGTACAAAATTAAGTGCAAGAAAAAATACCAATTCACATAGGTTTTGCCAGTGATGCAACAGGGACTGTTCAGCGTCTCACATTTACAGCCATTTAGGGATTTTCATTTAGAATGATTCAGGGAAACCTTCCTACATTCAAGAGGTGTCTCAAAAGACTTTGCGTTCTGTTTTGTAATGGGAAAAACCAGTTTTTAGAGAGATCGCCTACTGGTTAGTGGTGGTGGATGGAAAACCTAAAAAGGAGTTGGTGCTATTTTTGCCTGATTGCCTAAAAGTGCTGAGTCTGAAGTAGTTCCATGACCCCCTGGAAGAGGGAGAGGGGTTTTTCCTTTTAGCCAATAGCACCTTTCTCCTCAAACCAGAGATTCCTTGCGCTCAAAAGGATGCTTTAGCATTTCCCAAAACACATTCTGGATTTGTTGGAGAGGAAGAGGAAAGTAGTGTTTCATGAAGGCACACCCATGCTGAATTTGCAGGAGAAAGGAAAGAAAACAGAAAGCAGTACTGCACAACGCAGTTATAATACAAGGCTCATTCTTGAAACCTGAATATCATGCTAGAAGAAAATCTAGATATGTGTAATATTTTGAAGAAATATTTTGAAGGCAATATTATTTGATTTTTTTTTTATCAAAAAAGAAAAAATATTTCTGTGTAAATGTGGATAGAATGCTATTTAAGAAGGGAACTGAATATTTGTATTGCAGCCTTAAAGAAGCACATTTTTACTGCAATATTCTTTTTTTTTTTCTTTTCTTTGTAAACTACGGTCTGAAACTCAGCAGACCATGACTGAATGCTTTTGAAAACTTGTAGATTACAAACATGAAATCACGATTAATATCCTCTAAAAGTAATTTCAGAGCTTTCACGTCTTAAAAAAGGACAATGTGTACTGCTTCACAAGGTAATGCAGCTAATCAAAAAAAAAAAAAAAAAAGGAGTAGAATTAAAGTATTTACATAATGAGCAATTCTACAGAAGGCGATCATCCCCATGTAAGCACTGCTGATTATATCCCACGCTGCTTTTAACAAACTCTACCAGATTGGATCCAGTCATCAGCACTTTCAGAGAATCCTTAAAAGCCTTTTATGGGTCTTTACACTTAGTGCAGAATGATGTTCTTCAGGTAGAATATGCTGGTGAGGGAGGACAGTGTCAACACAAGGTACCAGCAGGAGAAGAGGACTTCAGCGTCGCCCGTGATCCCGTACTGGGCTGTACTGGGAGCTGCAAAGAGAAGAAGAAGGAGAAGGAGGGGTTAAGTGAAAAATTCTCCCCAAATTCCTCAGTTTTCATTAATTCTGTACAGATAACTACTGGGGCAGCAAAAACATTCTTCTGAAAACTGGAGAAAAAGCTGCAGAAGTAGCCAGCCCAACCCTGCTACGCTGCTCAGTGAATAGTACTTTTTGTTTTAACGAGGGGGAAAATCATTGTTAAGGCAAGCATTTAAACATGCAAATACTTAACATCAGATGAGCTCTATGTGTTTAAACACCTGAATAATTTATCTGTTTTTACGTTACTGAGCATTAGGATCTCCACTGAAATCAATGAGAGGTGAATATATTTAGCTCCCTTGGAAAACAACTCATTTTCTGCCTGACTTTGGAAGCCCAAATTTGACAGTCTGGCTTTGCCGAAGAGATTCATATTTGTTTTCAGCCTCTTTGAAGAAATTGTATTTACTTGCTTTCATACAAAGTCTTTCTCAAATCCCTAAGTAAATATTACAGTAAGTACACGCAAAAAAGAGTTAAAATACAAGAAAACAGTGTTGAGAAATGAGTGGGGAGACATCCACGTGGGGGAGTCGGGAGGGGGCTGTCCTGACTGCAGTGTGGGAACCCACCGGGGCAGAAACTGCTGGTTTTGGTCTTAATAATCCACGGGCAGGAGGAAGGGAAAGGACCTGTCACCTCCCCCAATGCACCACGTACCAATGGCGCAGAAGACAGTTTCTCTGAGGCCAACCCAAAGCTTGTCCCACCACCTTGCCCAGGAGCGAGCTGCCAGTGCCAGGTCCACCTCTGGCAGGGAGGCACCAAGGAATGGTGCAGGCACGGCTTTGGAGTAAGAAAAATTCACCACATCCTCACGGGCTTCCCTTTGGGGCAGAGGAGAGGAGCAGTGAAGCATCCTTGGTGGCAGACATGGGTCCAAGAGAGTTGCATGGTGTGGGTGGGAGGGAACCCAGGGAGGAGAGCAGGACCTTGCTTGGTGGGGCCAGTACCCAGGGTCTGGCTTGCATGGAAACCCCCCCCCAAGATGAACAACGATAACAAAGCAACAGAAGGATTTCACTACTGATGGGAGGGGTAGGAGAGACTACAGCAATCGCCCAAGAAAATACAGCAAAGCGGTGGTTTTCACCAAATCTTGTTTGCTTCTGAAGGACAGAGTCTCCTGAATTTCAAGTCTTGTTTGCTGAAACATCAACATCCCTTTCCTTTCTGGACAGCCACCTGGGCTGTGTGCTGCCAGGTCCGTTTGCAACGTATGACATTTTACCCGGCGCAGAGTATGCGATAAAACCAAAAATCATTCATTTCCCCCCCTCCCAGTGAAGAAAGGTTCAGGTAATTAAAAAAAAAATATTACAAGATGAAGCTTGATTTTAAAGCTTAGTTTAGTGACTTATAACCGTGACTAACTGCAGGACAGGGCACGCTCTTCCCTTCTCGTTAAAAAGGAACTTTCCGTGGTAAGTCACTATGACAAATCAACATTTAATTTATTACAAAAACCAGGCGAGCAGGATGAAGCATAGCGGAGGTGGTATTTCATTTTATCGTATTAAAAGAGTTTCCCCAACGTAAAGATAATTTGAACTACGGTGGCTATAAAAGCGAGTGGAAAATTATGTAAATCTGATTTCCTGCATATGAACCAGTACTATCTTCCTAAAGCTTATTAAATCATATCTGGATTGTTTCAGCACAAAGGTACTAGGTGAATTAATGGGGGGAAAATGTGTAGACTTGGGTAGATAATAGAAAAGAGTTAAGGTTCCTAAAGCTGGCTCATCGGAAGAATTTGATGTGGAAGAAACCTGGAGGAGAGTGAGATCTGGACCAGTTTAAGTGACTGAACTCGGCTGGGTTTGATGGGGAAAGCGCTGTCAGGTCATTATCCCTCTGAACTTTAATTAGACTTCTGGAAATTAAGCCTTGGAATGGGCTGCCCAGGGTCGAGGCACCATCCCTGAAGATATTTAAAAGTCGGGTTGACATAGAGCTGAGGGACATGGTTTGGTGATGGTTTTTTTCAGAGTTAGGTATATCCCTCTGAACTTTAATTAGACTTCTGGAAATTAAGCCTTGGAATGGGCTGCCCAGGGTCGAGGCACCATCCCTGAAGATATTTAAAAGTCGGGTTGACATAGAGCTGAGGGACATGGTTTAGTGATGGTTTTTATCAGAGTTAGGTGGATGGTTGGACTGGATGATCTTAAAGGTCCCTTCCAACCCAGACAATTCTATGAATCTATGAAATCTCCAGGTGTTTCTAGCTTCCAAAGTAAATTTATAAGCAAATGCCCTTCTCACTGTTCGTGGCAAATGGGTTGTATCAATCACAATGTCATGGTAAGTCTACAGTTTAAAATGTTGTGCTTTGCTCTTAACATTCCTGGAAATACAATAAGCTTCTGCAGTCCTTTTCTTTTTCACCTCAGTATTTTGAATAACTTTTCCTGTGGCTACCCGATTCCTTTACCGGCAACAGAAAATTTTGTTCCCAAATATTAACAAAATTCTGGAGATCTTTTGTGGTGCTTTACGAACTTTAAAAAGTAAACAAATTTACTTTTAAAATTTAAAAGCTGTTAGTGTGGTCTGCTTAGTCATCCATCTAGAACGAACCGTTATTTTTGCTAAGCATTAAGTAGTCCTCGCTTTCATCACCGTTGCTGGGTAATACGAGGCAAGGTGGGTTTGCACTTGGGATTTTCATAGGGTTTTTCTGAAGGTTCTCTATGTCAGAATAAAAACCTCAGTTTAGGAATGAATGAAAAGGTTTAAATGTTTGAAAATAGCATAAAACTCACAGCTTGCTTCTCCCCACCCCCCACCCCCAAGATCTTAGCACTGACTGTCACTGCTTTACAGTCTTAATATTTGTACAGAGAGATGGTGGTGGAGGTAGGTACGATTAGACACCAAATAAAAGCATGAATTATTTGACTCCCTGATTACATCTGCAGCTTTCCTGGGCATTTCCATCATGGCCATCACCGCCGTTATAATGGAGCACTCTGGAATGGACTTTACGGCGTGGGAAGCCTTTGGTATGTGGAGCTGGGCAGGAGAACAGCGGTTGGCCCGCAGAGAGGTATTTATCTGTCTAAAGATTCCCACCCAGAGGTTTATCTGTCTAAAGATTCCTGTCCAGAGCGATGGCTGAGATGGAAACTGAGGACAAATTGCTCTCCTCCCCTTGTGCCCATTTGACAGCACAGATTCAGCTCCGAACTGTGGCAGGGGTACTTTAAAGAGAATTTCCATCTAGAAGAAGATTAAAATGATCTTGAGGAAAAGTCTGATGTTTATAATATATATATATAGGACATAGGATATAGGTTTATTATATATATATATATATAGGACATATAGGAAATATAAAAGGACATAGGATTTAGAGGCTGCAATAACTTCAAAATATAACGAAGGGCAGGCCGAGAGAGTTGGGAGGTATCAACCTGGAGAAGAGAAGGCTCCGGGGAGACCTTCCAGTCCCTCAAGAAGGGGGGCTCCAGGAAAGCTGGGGAGGGACTCTGGATGAGGGAGGGGAGCCCTAGGAGGAGGGGGAAGGGTTGGACACTGGAAGAGGGGAGATGGAGCTGAGCTGTGGGGAAGAACTTGTTTGGTGGGAGGGTGGTGAGAGCCTGGCCCAGGTTGGCCCGAGAAGCTGTGGCTGCCCCATCCCTGGAGGGGTTCAAGGGCAGGTTGGAGGGGGCTTGGAGCAACCTGGGCTGGTGGGAGGTGTCCCTGCCCAGGGCAGGGGGGTGGAATGAGATTATCTTCAAGGTCCCTTCCAACCCAAACCATTCTGTGATAATACATTAAATTAGCAGTAGGTCTGTGCGATGGGCGCTCTCATTGCAACAGGGAAGGAGGCACAGAGGGTTCTGTTCCCATTCCCCCCTTGGCTTTGTAACTCCTCGTACTATCAATTATTGAGAACAGCTGAAGGAGAAACCCCTGCCAAGGTCAACCCTCTGCTGCCACCAGGGCACGACCAGCAGCCAAGGTCCCTGTGTGATTGCCTTAGAAGCCCATGTGCTCTTATCAAGCTTCCCTTTTATTCTAATTTAGTGATTATTCTGCATAATCCTGATGTTTTATACCAGTTAGCAGTTGTGAAAATATTTAAGAGCACTCTTAGCACAGATAGGATTATATTCAGACATCTCTCCTGGTGGTGAATAGGAAGGAACAAAGTAATATTGTATCACTATCTGTAATTAATGAAGGAGATTAGGAAAAGTACTATGCTGGAACGTGCGAACCAACATTCCCTAACACCAAAGGCTGCATTAACCAGAAATAATTATAAGCTTTAATGCTGATGCCTTGTAGACAAAAGCACGGACCTCTTTAGGTTGTCTGAATAAGCAAGACTAATTCTGTTAAATGGATTATGCAGAGAGATGTTAATAAGCATTTCATTTAACTGTATTCAGGTTAATGATTTATTATAGCGAAGCCTTAATAAATAGGTTTTTGTGCAACATTTAAAATATACAGAGAAGGAAGGAATAAACTAACTCAAGGTCAAAGCAGTAAGAAAAAAAAATGATGAAAAACACTGGGCTGTCAAGAATGTGTTTTTTTTTTTCAAAAGCAAAGATTGTAAGATAATGGGACTGTGACAGCTCAGCAGAGTCCTGCAGACAACACCTCTAAATATTGCTACACCTGGAGTTAGCCGAGGATTTATGGCTTTGGAGGAGCAGGTCAAGAGTCTAAAAAAGACTGAATTAGGAAGCAACGGGCTGTGGGAGGAGAGGGAATCTGCTTGGAGGGCGCTGGGACCGGCTCGGGGATAAAAAAAAAAAAAAAAAGGAGTAGAATTAAAGTATTTACATAATGAGCAATTCTACAGAAGGCGATCATCCCCATGTAAGCACTGCTGATTATATCCCACGCTGCTTTTAACAAACTCTACCAGATTGGATCCAGTCATCAGCACTTTCAGAGAATCCTTAAAAGCCTTTTATG